CAGTAAAAATATATAACTATCATCCAAATTATGAAAGAAATTATGAAAGATATTTTCATGTTCATATTTCATACAGTATGACGTTATTGAAGACATTTTCAAACCGTATTTTGTAATGCGTCGTTAGGTAATGCTACGCTAAATGCTCTCATGACGCAAAATCTTAAAACCTTTCCAATGCATCTAAATATTTATTATTTCTCTATATTAAAGTGTATTTTGGTGTTTTTTAAATAGATATATTGTGTTCCTGACTCTAAAAAGACATGTTATATGTAATGTAAACCTGGTAAATGCAACGTTTAATAGGTAACCATTTTAATAAATTTGGATCAATTTATTTTATTTTTTTATTTGAAATTTTTACTTAAATTTAATTTAAATTTAAAATTTTTAACATTTTCCAGAGTTTAACCTTCTCTATAAAAAGATTGATTCAGGTATTTTAAATATTCATTGCTATGTCACTACCTAGATTAAATACATTTTATATGTAATGTCAAACCGTATTTTTAAGGACATCATTTGGTAATGTGATGCTAAATATTCCCGGCATGCAAAGGATAACAACCAGGACACTTGCCGTGACTTGACATAAAGTAAGGGGATAAAACAACCTTGCAGCTTGGCTCCTCCTACTGTCGTTGCTCAACTTTTTATAAGACGTTGAAAAATATAACTAACAAATTAAATAAATAAAATTAATTAATAAAATTAAATAAATTAAAAAAATAAATAAATTACATTTTAAATAAATAAATACTTTTTAAAATAAAAGTTTACATAAAATGTAATAATCATAATAATAATAACATTTATTAAAATAAGTAAAATAAATATCAAAAAAATGTTTGATAAACTATGTTTGATGAAACTAGTAGGTTCAACAACCTGGATCTACGCGGTAATTAAGTCACATTATACCAGTTGCAGTATTGCACCTCGTTTTTAATCGGACTTTTAAAAAACCTGCGGTTGTTTAGAATAATGAGGTTTAATGAATAATTTATGTGGTTCCCTTTGCTCTGTGGTATGAACGTATATGAAATCAAGTATTAATGTGTACAATGAATATATTTTTCACCACACTATGATACACTTTTACAGACGTTTATTGGAGGCCGAAAACTACGTATCCATGCCAGCTGTCTTCGTCATTTGGGACTGAGCAGGTTTTTACATTACATCCCTAGGGTCGAAAAACTAGCTGTTTTCTGTTTTCTTATTTACTTAAAACATTATTGTTTATGCACAAGCAGTATCCATATGCAATAGACTTGATTTATTGTCACCGTTGATAGTCCAATTACAAACATAAACTCCAGCCAGTTACAATCTTGCTTGGAATCAAACCTGCGACCTTCAGATTTGATAGCGAGTAAACCACTTGGATACCCAATTGATGTTCAGTCCTTATCTTTGATGCAATTTCAATTAATTAAAATATCTTGATTTATAAACTGATAAGTAAAACTATGCAAAACTACACAAATTTAAAACTAATCATGCTAAGGGCAATTAACCCCATGACTTAACACAGAGATGATTAAAGTTTCAATAATTTTAAAGTTGTAAAAAATACGCCTTAAGTTAGAGATAAAAGTACATTGTGTAGTGCCTTAGCCTTTGTAAAGTGAACATGGGACCATAAGCTATCACCTTTCCCTTTGTTTTTGAGCGTTTTAAATTTGTTTTTGCGACAAAAAGCTTTCAAAGACGATGTTATCTTTTAGAAACCCTCTTTGAAGTATTGTAAACAGCTTTGGGATGCATTTACGGATGTACTTTTGTGCTAAGGCTTAAACTAAATAAGACTATTTATTATATATTATTTTTGTTGCATTTAACGAATGTTATATCTTTACAGAACATTTTGTGTAGTACCTACATAAAACTGCATAATCTGTCAAATATCTTTATGCTTTAAAGCCATTTTGTTTTTGCGAATTCCCTAAAAAGGGAATACGTCTAAGCTTTGACCATTGGTCTCAAGGCAAGACCTGGAACCTAAATTAAGTTTTTTAGGTCACCAGTAAATTTTTTTTTGTATCCGATAGCATGATGGGTGATCATCCGATTTTAATTAAATTCGGTAAAACCTGTATTCTAAACCAGCATTTATTCAAATGGGTTTGCTTGCGAACCACCGTGGTCGGACTACGGGAAAGGTGGTTTTATGGGTGTTTTAGGGGTAAAAATTTTAGTTTCCAATTTCGACCCACAAAACCTAAAATTTTCAAACGTAACTTGTAGAGCTCAAATAAACAAACAATTGAACACTTTTTTATTTATTCCATTGGGGTTTCAGCCTGGAATTGTTTTTCCATTACAACTTCTGTCTAGGGCTAGAGTGGGTTGCGGATTTAATTGGTGTTTGGAGGAACTCGAACCCGGGACTTTGTTGACCGATGTCCCGTACTCTCCCACTAGACCTCGCTCCCCATCAATGAAGGACATGTTCAATGTATTTTAAAACTGTACCGTAGGAATGAAATATACTTTAGGGTAGTTTATCTATAATTAAATATATATTGAGACCTGTTTTATCATCATTAGCAAAAAAGGGCCACCATGCCAACTCATCCCCATCAAAAAACGTTTCATCTCACAAATAAAAAACTTTCCGATGCAACTGCGCTTGATGTTCAAAGCAGTTAAAGAGACGGCGAGCAAAAGTCGACCGTAACAATTGTCGTTTTCTCAGTTGTTGGTTTGAAGCACCGCCATTTTGTTTCATAGCTCATTTTGCCTCAGTCAAGTTTTAAACGATTCAGAGTCGCGATGTTGGTTCGCTCAGAGGAAGAAACTAGGCAAGCGATCTTTTATTGCGATATTAAAACTGACTGCTTTCTTCAAATTGTTTTTATTTCATTACTTTCCGCAAACACTTCCTTGTTTTCGAGAAGGGTTTTATTGTTTTATCAAGATTAGGAACAAATTAGGGCCTCGAAGAGGTTTTTGCCAAAGTTTGGAATGTTAGCTGGAAGAATTTTGATATTTTTTACAAGACATTGACGAAAAAGTGCGTTCTTTTAATTAGACCTTTAATTCCTAAAAAGTGAATAAGTTGGGTCACGTTAAAAAAGGTTTGAATTATGTTTGATTTAGTTACAGAATGATTATTTTGTATTAAAATCAAGTCTTTTAAATGAACTTACCCACACCATCATACAAATGTACTATAGTAAGATAATTTAACTGTTTAAACTATGATTTATTTGTAAACTACAATTTAAGTTCTTGTTTTATTGATAGAATAAAATAAATACAACAAAATAGAAAAATGTATGTACCTTGAAAAGTCACTAGGATATACACTCTCTGTATAGTGTTCAGTTCTTCTTGATGGGGATTCATTGATTTGCAAAAACTGTAGGCTTATTTACAATGAATTCCCAATAACACTAAACCTCATGGATAATTTCGCAACAATGCATATCAGCTGATCGGCAATGAAGTAAACAACTCAGGGATACCAACATATGCGCTTGTTTTGTCGTTAAAAAGTGTCTCACGGTACCGTAATTTGGGCGTGTTAAAAACACCATGTTTTCTATGTTATTTGTATAGATTGTACAGAAGTAGATTTCCACCAGCTTTGCTTAGAAGATCTTTTAGGTGATAAAAATAAAGTCAGTAATAAAGATGAAACGAATTACCCGGTAAAACGCCTTGTAGTATTCATTGAAACCATTAATAACTCAAAAGATCGCAGTTAATGCAGTCTTTGAGATATTTTTGTTGCTAAAGCAAGTTAAAAGCTCGCAAAACAAAGGATGAAATGTTGCTAAGTTTACTACCTTCCAGTTCCCTTTGTAAAGTAAAAGTTGCTGCAGGGAGGAAACTTTCGCAGTATTTTAGCTCAAAATAAATTTGTGTTTTAACTTTATGATGATGTAACAAGATAAGGAATTTATCCAAGTTGTAAGTTACAACTCCGTTTTAGTTTCTGGGTTTTCCTCGGCTGTTTCTGATAAATACAACTGCAATGCGTTTTTAAGTAACGTAAAATATCCTCTGCGTCACTTTTTAGCTTTATATATTAAAATGTAAATTGTTTTAACTTGTAATGCCATGTTTGTCATAAATAGATTTTACTTTTGAGAGTTGATTTAACGTAGGTTGCGTCAGTGTTTTGCAACATGTTCTGTCTCGTATTTGATTAAAATACATATTTTACAACATTGGCATAAAATGTGTTATTTTTAGGTTTATGGAAAGGGGACTGAGTATTATCACTTGTGATATTCATGTTGTATTTAACTGTTGTTAGCAAAACTAATTAATAGGTAATGAAAAGTAACAACACGTTTATACTTTGTTTACGTTATTGATATATTTATTTCTCTTTATTGACAGCTGATAGTATTAAACTAGAGAGTATGCAACTAAATCATCCAATCAACTGAGTTCCCATAACATAGGTATAAGGATAGCTGTTATTTTAATTTAAAAACATTTATACTTTACAAATTTGTTTATTTATTTTTCAATTTTTTCATTTAAAAATAATATTTATTTGTTACAATTTTTATATTTTAATTTTTAATAATTTGGTGCTCTCTTTTTTGCTTTCGCCTGTCCACATAGGCCACTTGCCTGAGCGTGAATCCTATAAAGCAAGAAGCAGAGCTGTCCTCGCCCAAAATTAACACAATAACAACACAAATCACGCTAAAATTAGTAACACGTAAACAAAGGTATTTTAAATTTTTTAATCACAAAGCTCTCAATTAAATACAACCCTCCTGATCAACCATTATCTAATCAGATAAGCGTTCGGGCCGTACTGACAATGAACCTGCGAGCAAAACGACCACCTGACAATAAGAGAAATCCAATGATCCGAGGATAAATAGCTTTTACATTCGCCTTGTCGCAATTGTTCGCTGCCGTCTCAACTACCGAGCATTAATTGGAGCACAGCAGCGCCGCTGTGGCGAGATCTGGAAACTCTAGCCGGAGAACAAAACTTGAACTGTCAGTGGAGACGCGCTCCTCGCTGCGCTGCGTTCGGACCGAGGAGCAAGATCACGTGTGTGTTAGTGATACGACTCCGATAATCAATAGATTAGAATCGATTATTTTTTACTAAGTTTTCACAAAATCGTAAAACAATTTTAAATTGATCTACGCGATGCGTTCTTATCACCTGGAAAAACTTTAATTTTACAGGATTTCACTCATTATGTAAAATTAATTTAGTCCCTTTTGAAATTTGGATAAAGTTTTATTGACAGTGATTAAAAATGGTGACAATAGGTGTTTTGGGGACTTTGTGTGTTTTAGGGGTGGTTTTCCTACCAGGAACTCTCGCGGAGACTTTGGGATCACCACTCAAAGTCGCTCATTGCAGGGCGAAATGCTTGAATGCGGTGAGTTTTATTTGATTTAGCTATGTAGGTCATTAATTAAGTGTATAAGACACATATGGATCAAAAGACGGCATGCATGCTTGTAAATAGTGATAGGTACTGTCAAATGTCAAATTGACATGATGACGTGATTATGTAGAGTACATCATTATCACGAGGGCATATTTAACTGAATTATTAATGGACGATGAGTGTCCCATTTTGTATTTAGCCAGGGTATTATAAGAAGATAAAAAAACAGCTGATTTTCAATTCGAACCATTAAAAAGCATAATGACTTTTCTTAAGATTCCAGCGAACATCTTATTGCATTTGAGTGAAATGTATTTCCCTCACAGACAAATTACCATTTAATAACGACCCAGTTAGATTTTCATCGATAGTATTTCAGGGCAAAATATGAATGTTTAAACTAGCACAACAATAAAATATGTAAAGAACACACACTCACACAAACTAGCCACAAACTAGCCCGTGTTGAATCAGTGTGTTGGGGGAAGGTCATCATACAGTAATATTGAATACAACTTGTATTGGTTGTTTATATTTTATTTATATTATTTTATTTATTCGAAGCGTAGATAGAAATTAGTGTTGATTAACGTTTAGTATTAAGCTTAACAAGTTAATTGTTAAGTTTAGCCTGTCAAGCTTTGCTTTTAAAAAGAGAATCAGGAGTACCACGGCTCCATGCTATTGTTACTTGGTTTTATAAGAAATCGTCTATACAGGGTGAATAAAAAGTCAAGACCCCATCTAATATTTTGCCAGGTAAATAATACAGAGATATCCTTTTGGTGGTCGTGCAACCTCTAGCAGAAAGTTTAATTTTATGATTTAAAAGTTTGGAGTATCCTCAAAAATAGGGGATTTTGAGGGCAACTAAACATTTTTAAATGTAAACCCCCTTCACGTGACACTTCATTTTGAAGAGTTTACAAAATCTTAAAGAATGAAGAAAACCAGAGCTCGCTATCTCTTTTCTATTTAAAATAGTAGCCAATATTACCATTACATTGATTTTTTATTATTTTTTGTAAGTGGAGACTTCAATAGATTTGACGGGCTACCAGTTCGGCCCAATATTCCCTATTTTTGGGGGACACTCAAAATTTAGAAAATAATAAAATAAAACTTCCTGCTAAGGTTGCACGACCACCAAAAGGATATCTCTGTATATTTACTTAGAGAAATATTAGATGGGGGGTCTGGACTTTTTATGCATCCTGTATTACGGTAATTAAAAATATTAATTCATAACGGATATTCATTTTATGGAATGCACTGTTCCAGCTTCTAAAAAGCTAAGCATTCAATTATAACCACCCCTGACTCCTTATGCTTAAAAACACTAAGAACTAACGGTAAACATCGTTAAAACGTTGAAGATACCTGGTTTATACTCTGGAAATTAAGCCCTAATAAAGATATCTGAGTTCATATTTTCTCTAATGGCTGTAATTAAAAGTAGAGCATAAACTGCACTAATTGACTGTAAAATGATCAACTAAGGTTATTCAACTTTTTAATTACTATAATAAAAGCAATTAGTCTTGGCCACATTATAATGTTCTTCATTTTATCGTTGCACTTAAACTGGAGAGGAAAGAAACCGCAGAAGCTTATTAATCTTGCAGATGTATTTGTTTATCTCATTTCCAACGGATTTTCCATTACATTACAGATTATTACATTGGTTTTTATGCTGCAATTTGTAAAACTATCACCGTTAGATAGCAGGATAAGCAGATAGTAGAAAATAGGTAGTAGGATGTTTAATGAAACATTTTGCAAATATTTATACTTTAAACTCGAATATTTTTTGTTTTTCAGTAACCGTTGAATACATTTTACATACACTGTACGTCAACAAACAGTATTTATTAACTATTTGGTAAAATATCATAATCCGATTCTCGTGATCTTATTAGATTCTCCGAATCTTATTTTAGCATAGTTTCCGAAATGACTACTATTGTGTCTGCGAAATAAGTAATTTTTATTAAAATGTATAACTGTTAGTATGTGTTTATATTACTTCTATGGTGATATGGTTACTAAATTAGGAAAACCCGATTTTAGTTAAGAACTCATAGCTTTTATCTTAGGTAGTCGCAATAGATTGCAATATTTGCCAAATTGCAGTGGCATAATACAACGTTAGGCCCTACTTTTAGTTTTGAACCTCCAATTCATCGCAATGGGTGAGAACTCAGAAGAAGATTATGGTTTATTCTTTGGATAACCCCATTTTTGACTATATAAACAACAATCAACTTTAGTTAGGTCTACATACAGACAGATGTTTTTTAGTTTACATACATCTTAATCAATCTCATACACAGCTAAAATAGACATAGGCAAAACCAACAATAAAAATTTACTTATATTTTTTGACCTTATGACAATGTTACTATGCTAAGTATTATCGGCCATCGTTAAATATCACATAATAGATTCTCCTAGCTGCAGTTAAAAGTAAAACATACACTACTCTATGGAGGCTTTATGGGGCTTAAGGCTTAGCTAAGTGTGCTATTTCATACCGTTACCGAATCAATTATTGACTTAGGATGTTTAAACATACATATACACCTCTTTATCTCTTATGCATGGTAAGCCACACAGGTGTGACAATATAATCTAGTATCGATCTGAACACGAGTACGAAATGCTACAAAGTGTGCAAATCTACAACATAGTCCTTGGTCAAAGCTATGACAGTGTGACCAACTGTAACTCCCATCACTATTCGTCACTCAGCCAAAGCTGCCTTTGTCGAATTGACAACACACCATCAACGTAACAAGAAATGTCTTTTGTCACTCAAATTTACATCATTGTTTATTTGTCTGTAACTGTAACACTTGAATTTATCGCTGCTACAAACAGTGGGGAAATGCAAAATATATAAATGCAAAAGAGGAATTTGGAGATCTCAAACTATGATTTGCATAATTACAATAGGCCTACTTCGCCACGGGGAAATTTACCAAAATACCATAATAAGTATATTACCAACCCCAGTTAACTATTTTTGCACCAGCTGTTTCGTTATTGTCATATTTGGTCATCTATACTATTATAAAATTGATGTGGTGTCTGTCTGTCTGGGCAGCTGACACGACTAAAATACTAAACCGATACAGCCCAAAATTAAGCACAAAGATGGTCCACATATCTGGGAATATCATAGGCCTATTCACTACCCTGAGTTCCTCTCGGGCTACGCCCCTTGGATGTGCAAAGTTTTGAGGTGAGGGTTTCAAAAGTTAATATTAATTGGTCTTTTACCTTTGCGTAAACATTTAAATGTAAACAATCAGAACTGCCAAATGCTCATTTCACAATTTCAGACAGCTGATCCGAAGAATATATTACACCACTATGTGGTAGGATTATTTAATCTAAAACTTAATGATGGATTATATATTCTAAATCTATTTCAATGATTATGAAACTGGTTTTCTTGCCGTTGCGAAGCACGGGTACTGCAGCTAGTTTTATTTAAATTAAACTGCGATTTAAATTTTAAAACGAAGAATTTTTCCTAAGACGAATTGAGCACTTCTACCTTCTTGCAATTATTGTAGTTGACGTTAAATTCAATGCAGTATCGAAATCATGAATTTAATTTGTACCAAAAACCAAAACTAAATCTATTTGTTGAAAGATGAATCGAAACCCATTAACTAGAGGCAATGTTTGCCCAGGGAAATGGGTCTTCCCTGATTTAATGGACTTGAACACACCAAACAGGGTGTGGACTGTAGTTTAATGGATTAATAGTGTTTGTACGGCGAATTGCGGAGCTAAAACAACCTTTCAGATTCAGAGTAAATAACATAGGGTTTTATATGAGGGCAAATCAAGGATCCAAGGAATAAATGAACATTTGAAGAGGAAAATTAATGTATAACCTTTTAGATGTATAATATTGTTTTATTACTTTGAGGGATTTATAGGTTTACATTTATTAGGTATCAAGTATGATTGGATAAATTGTATGTGTCAGTGTTTTACGTTTACAATGGCAAACGATTTCTACGAATAAACAATGTAGGTCATTCTATGTTATTTCATACCTTTTATATTATTTATTAGTTGAGGAATTCGTAACTACTATCCGCTTTACCCGTTCTTTGCAATGGGAAGAGAACGTGAAAGAAAATTATTTGTTTCTTTAGATTTTCCGTATTAAATAGTTACTCCGTATTAATGATTTAACAACACACTATTTCACAGCTAATTTTGATCAAATTCTATTAATTCAAGTCCAAGAAAGGGTGTTTGATTTCATAGGTTAACCAACGGGGTATAAAAAGCGCTGATGCGTGTTAAAAATATTGCAACTATTTTTTATTGTTTTATTTTAAAAACTACGCTTACTTTAAATTGTACTTATATTTAACCTTGCTATTATTTTGAAGCCAATAGATCAAAATAATCTAAAAAATACACTGTAGTATAGCAATCAAATAAATTTAATAATTTTGATATTATTGTCAAATAAGATAACACTGTTTACCCTAATTCTATGTTAGTCAATCCTCTTTACCTGTAGCTGAAAATGAAAATATGACAGAAAACGAAATAAAAATATCACAGATAACGATGCACAAAATTTCACAAAACTTGTATCATTATATATTTATGAAACAAAACCCTCCTACCGAATAACCACAATGTAAATAAATCACCAACAAAACAATGTTTAAACATCTTCTCGTTTGGTGAAATAAAGGTATAGTATTTTTGTCGATACAGCAACCCACTACAAGAATTACTACAAGAACTTTCCATAATCAAAATTTATTTTGAAATTAGTCAAGAAATACGATAAAGAAACAAGGCTTTTTACTCTGCAGGGGTAATAACTTCTCTGATAATATTTGTTTGTCGAGCGAAGACCGGGATTATAAATTTCCCAAGAACAGATCCAAATCAGAATATTAATGTTTGAATAATTCAAGCCCGTGCTTCTGAAGGAGATATGCTTT